ACCCATTATCAACCTACATAATTAGTGTCAAGCTCGAGTTTGCTTACACGTATCTATTCTAATCTGTTCAGCTTTCTGCCTAGTAGTCTGTGCTGGTAAAACATGAGCAAGTAAATCTTTCTGGGGAGTGAAGAAAGCCGTGGCTCCCAGTTGCCAGTCCCGGCTGATACAACTCTCCTAAATTGTCTTGTCAGCGACGAACAACCTGGAGCACCACCGTTGCTCTTATGGCTACTTCACTGACACATACACGCCCACATACCACTCGGTTCCGACCCACTGTAGGCTGCTGTTCACACTCGGTAACTCAACGGTTGCGAAAAATTTTAAAATACCCCTGAGGACCACTGTGTTTGAGGTAAAAACTAAGAACATATTTTCGTTGCCCACTCACTGGAAGCTGAGCAATAAATAAACTCGCCAGTTACCAGTTTCCCTTTTGGCCTCTCACAGTTTGTCTAGTAAATGAAGACCGACACACCTGGTTGGAGTTGCATATCCACTGGATTGTAAGTTCATGCTCGTAAGTCCGTATTGTTTAGTCATGACACAGTAATTGACGGGCATTTAATACGATTATTACTGCGGATACTACTTGAAGGTGCTGTTCTGTAATAGATTATTCGGCTGTATAAGCGGGCAGTGAATATTAACCATGATTACCCAGTTGACGTGTGCCCTCGTTTTTGTGTTCCTGGGACTAAAACGTCAGGGTCGATAAACGTGTCTAAACGGGTGCATGCTTAGTTCGCGCCTACACGAACATAAGCTAGCTGTGAAACGGGGTGACGCCTTGTCAAAAGTGGCTGTCCACAGCTACGACACGGATCACGAGTTTAACTTCACAACCGTGACGATAACCATTCACACTGGAATCCAGACAAACCAAAAGTTGATTGAAGCCCGGGCCTCTGATGGGAACTCAGTCAATCAATTTATCGATATGGCGCTGGCTCCGCGCCGTCACTGGACTGACGTCATTGCTGCTTGATTAGTCTGTGCCCCCTATAAGTGTTGCTTGTTTTTCGTTACCTTTTTTATCTTTGACGACGGACCTCAGTGAGAGTTCTGTACATATACACCCGCACACCTGGAATTCAACCATTTGCCTCGGTCTGCAATTATCGAAGTTGTGCCGCTAACTTCCTTCTATACTCCTGTTTTTCAGCCCACAGGCTGTGGTTAGTCGCGGAGGCGCGTTCTACCTGGATAGCCTGCCCGAGGAGGCTCTCTGCTCCGCCACCTGGTTCTCCTCCGTACCGGTCAGCGTGAAGAACCTGCAGGTGATGTTGAATCGCATCAAGATGGTCAAAGAAATACAGGAGGCCTTTATGAATAGTCAGGTTGACTAAGAAGCTTCAAATTTGCCTCCCCCGGCTTTCCAGCTGTTGCCCTTGTCCCCCTCTCTCTGTCTTACTGACAAACGTTGCACCCGCTAAGAAGTCTCAATTAATATTTATTCTTATCACATAACCGTTTCTACCGTTATTGTCAAAGTGAGCTCGCCCCCTCCCCGCGTCGCGGATATTGTGTGCGCGGGGTCGTAGGTCTCGCACACGCCGCCCAGGTTTCTTTTTAACATTATATCTAACCCCGCCCCTCTCTGAAAACAGAGAAGATTCTACCCAAATCTGTAAATATCGATGTACTTTTTCACCCCTACCGTGCCTCCCTGCTCGTTTTCCATTGAAATCATGATCTTAACGTAAACATGACTTTTCTTGACGGGGAGTAAACTGAGGGATGTTACCAACGCACATCAGTTGACGATATAGTCGTTTTGGCTGGCTAGTAGCTCTTGTTGGATCAGGAGCCCCGCCGGGTGGACCTTAATCCCCCGGCGGTGGAGGAGGAGCAGCATGGTCGGGAGGGGCTGCTCCGTCATCAAAAACACCGATAGAGAGGAGGGGAGATTGATCCACCATAGGGTGTAGCAGACCTTGACCAACGTGAGGGCCGATGGGAACGCGACGAAGACGCGTCTGGTGTGGTTCCCATGTAGTCCTAAAGCCAAAGTATCGCAGAGCACGCAGATTTCGGGGGAAATCATTGTCTTCGGCTCTGCGTGCGTCGAAAGTGTAAGTGCAATAGTCTGCCCTGAACATTCATCCAGTTTTACCATATGTAGTCGTTTTCGCTGGATATTGTAAAACTGGATGAATGTTCAGGGCAGATTATTGCACTTAAACTTTCGACAGACGCAGAGCAGAAGACAATGATTTTCCCCGGAATCTGCTAGCTCTGCCATATTTTGGCTTCAGAATGGAAAAGAAGGAATGCCTAGAGATAAACGTCCAAGCTTCCCCGCCGAACTCTTTTCTGCGAATACCTACGCAACCACTGGTGCACTCGGCAGCCATCCTAGTTCTTCCGCAATCACAGCACAGTGTTGCTGCAATGGGTCTGTGATGTAGTCGCCTACTCAAACCAGTGTTACTTATGTTTCGAGTCATCTCTCGTGGTGCAAAATATTTTGGAATTTCTTATGGGTGCTTGTCGGGGTAAACATTATCCGATTTAATCGACCTTAGTTGGCAAGCGTTGAAGTGCCACAAAAATCGGCAGTGTTCAATAGGATAACCCCTAGAGCATTGACTGTTTTTGTCTACTGCCTCCATTCCGAAAGATAACGCACTGACAACATTGAACAGTGCCCGGATGTGCATCGTGGTAAAATGGGTTCCGGGAAGAAGAACAAGCCTATTCAAAGTCCATACTCATTTTTAAAGAACGTCTAATACGTCAGAAATAGTCATTCCTGTCTCCCTTTCTTTATCGTTAATGTATTTCTGCCTGTAATATGCTAGCCGTTGAGTGGCTGCTGGCTAGGCGAGTGAATTGCGTAAACGATTGGTGAGCGCATATCTACCTGCTTCTGCTATTGTCTGAGGATAAATCCGCTACGATTCTCGAAAATTGAGGCGATTTTTTCGTCCCAGCGATCAGACCTACTTATCGAAGCCGGTGAGGCAAAGAGCCTGCGGCGCAGCAGTTAGAGCTTTCGACTTCCAACAAAGTCGCGGGTTTCAGTCTCGGGGATTGCCACTCCTAGGGCGGGGTATGACTTGCTGATGACGGCTAAGAAGCCAGAACTGGCTACCTCCGATTTCGCTAAAAGTAATGCACATTATCCTCGATATACTGAAAAAACACGTAGTTCTCCTTAGGATTAAATCCACTCATTGGATCAAAATCACATGGCCAAATATATGCTAAACTACGAAGTTATATTTCGTAATGATCTTTGCAGGAATTCCCAGAAATACCAATGATTGACTTCATATGAAGTTTCTACGAACCCGGCGGCATTGGTCACACGCAGATGACCAGTCTTCTGCCGCAGGCATTGGTCAGGATTTTGACCGGCTAAAAAATGCTCAAAGCTCCACCTCTTCGATCCCCCTCAGGTGCGTTCTCGCTTGGGACTTTATAGTGACTTTGAGAGTTGGGCGTCGGGTCGAATTTCTCGATTCACGACGATGAGCGCAGGCGAGTTCTGAGGGCTCGACCACCCACTCTCCAGGGACCAAAAGCCATCAGACGGGCAGGATGCTTCCTTTGAGAAGCCGGAGTAGTTAACTTCAATGATCGTTCCGAGGCCAAGAATGGACAAAGCTTCCCCAGTTACCACTCGCCGGTGCGTGAAAGCGACCTCTAGGCTGCAGTGTTAACTTGTGAGAGTATCGGGTGTATTCCTGTTGGTCGAGTACCCAGCACGTGTGCGGTACTCCATCAAAAATAATCGCCATGATCAAGGCATACTACTGCACCGCCACTGCGCGGGTTCTAGTCCACTACAAACTCTCAGAACCCTTGGCCATTCGGTCTGACGTTCGATAAGGCTGTGGCCTGTCGCCCATCCTTTTTAGCTGCGCCATTGACTAGCTTCTCGGGAAGGCCCTACAGGCAAATGATGGTATTGAGGTTGCACCTGGACGCCGGTTTACTGATCTTGACTATGCCGATGACATCGCTTTACTAATTTCAAACTTCGGCAAGCTACAGTCTATGGTGTCACGGGTGAACGAGATTGCGAAATCGGTCGGCTTATCCATAAACGCTGGGAAGACCTAAGTGTTTTCATGCTCCATCCCTGCCCAAGAGAAGATACCTCTCGAGATTAGTAGCTGTCAGATTGAAGAAGTAGACAGTTGCGAAGACCTCGAAGCGAGGTTGCTGTCAAATGAACTGAGTAAGGATGACATTGTCTTGCAAATTGACAGAGCTCGACGAGTCTTCGAAAGTACCTGTGGACCAGACACGATAGGTCCGCATGTACCATGCATCTGTACGGTCTGTTCTTCTATACGGATGCGAATGCTGAGTTATACGCGTAGAAAATGAATAGAAACAAGAAGCCTTTGACCATCACTGCTTGAGGACCATCCTTCGAGTGAAGTGCACCGATTTCGCCTCAAATGAGACGGTCCCCACTCGCTGTGGCAACATCGCAAGAATATCCCAGGCAATACACGGACGACGACTGACGTGGTTTGGATACGTTCTGTGCCGTTAATCTCACTAGCTCAGTGATACTGCCCTCGATCAGAAACCGTTACCTAACTGGAAACGTGGAAGTGGGGTCAGCTTAAAACCTGGCTCGATCAAGTCCGTCAGTACATGGAAGTGGTTTTTGGATCTTCTTACTTGTGCTTGTTACGACTATGATCATGCCTGATCTAGCCGGCCTCGACTATGTCAAAGACTTCCAGCACCCGTTCATCTTCCACGCGCATAGCCCAACATTCCCATCCGTATAGAAAAACCGACCGCAAACATGCCCGATACACACGGATCTTTATGGATATAGAAATATCGTGTCGGGTCCATAGGCACTTCCGAAGGCTGGAGGAAGCTCGTCGTGCTGCGTCAATTCGGCAACAACCTCGCTCCGATGTATTTGAAACTGTCTACTTCTTCAAGTTGACAGCCATTAATCTCGAGAGCTGCCTTCTCTTGGGCAGGGATGCAGCATGAAAACACTTTGGTCTTCCCAGCATTTATAGACACAAGACCGATTTCGCGACCTCATTCACCCGCGACACCATAGACTGCAGATCGCCAAAGCTTGCAGTTAGTAAAGCAATATCATCGGCATAGTCGAGGTCAGTCAACCCGCGCCCAGGTGCAATATCAATACCGTCATTTTCCTGTAGGACCTTCCCGAGAACCCAATCAATGGCGTAGTTAAAGAGGATGGGCATCAAGACACAGTCTTGTCGAACGCCTGACCGGATAGCGAAGGGTTCTGAGAGGTTGTTGTGCACTAGGATCCGCGTAGTGGTGGAGCGGTAGTATGCCTTGATCATGGCAATTATTTTCGGTGGTACACCGTCAAATGTCATTATCTGCTATAGGGAGTCACGATGGACGGAGTCGAACGCAGCGAAAAAGTCAACAAAGCAGATGACCGTTGGTAGCTATGACGGAATTCAAGTATCCGTCTCAGTGTGAATATCTGATCCACACATCCACGCCCAGGGCGAAATCCGGCCTGGTTGGGTCGCGTCCTGAAGTCGCGCACAGACTGGCACTACCTGAAGAGAACAATGGCGAAGATCTTCGCAGAAATGTCGATGAGGCTTATGCCGCAGTGGTTCTTACATCTTGTCTTATCTCCTTTCTTGTG